TTTGGGTTCTCTCCCCCCCCCCCCCGTAAAGTATTTGGTTTGCAAAAATACAACATATGCATATCACAAACACAAATCCAGTCAAACCACACAACACAACCACACCACACAGTGTCAGATACATAAATATATAAACTTAATCACCCAGAAATCAAACTCCACCCAGTGTACTGCAGTTTAGTCCCCCCCCAAAATCACAGTCTATGACTCAGAACTCTTTGTGGTCTAAATAGCATCTTGATACACTTATTGCTAGTGGGATGTCAAGGTAAATTGGTCGGTCGAGGCTCAGAGAGGGTACCGTTTGCCAAAGGCCACCTAATTAATGCATTCAGTCCAAGGATTCCCTAAGTCAGCATTTTCCAAGCATTAGCAACCCAAGGAAACGGGACACGTGATGAAAATTATGCAGCTTGCGTTGGTTTGGCTGACATCTACAACTGAAAATGTTACAACTTGCCAGAAGTCCTAAACGGAATTATTTTAGTTACTTAAGAGGAGTTTGACCATTTACTTCTGAATTTTATTACATTTCTTGGTACATTCCCCCCTGCCTCTCTTTTTCTCAAAATTGAAATCAAGGTGGGTTATAAAAGCTAGAACTAACAGGCAGCTGTTGTTGATGATGACTGCACAAAGGTAATTATACCTTCACAACAGTACATTCTAGTTTAAATTGGTATTCGACAGCAAATGCAAAAGATGAGCTGGAGGGGTGAACTCACATTGCCAAATCTAGCCAAAGGGAAAATTCAGTTAAGCAGGCAAACGAATGGATAAGCAAGCATCAGTTTGTTTTGTGCTGCGGTTTTTAAGTGTAATAGATGATAGCAAGAAGATTGCTTGATTAGGTATCTGTAATTCAGTCTGCTTTTTTCCAAACCATTTAAACCCAATTCCTGGTTTGCTTTGGTTTGTTTGCTTGCTTGTTTGTTTTTTCAATAGCCAAGCTTCTTAGAGGAGGTAGCTAGCCTATTTTAGGTGGTTGTGGTGAGTTTTATTAGATTTGGGAGCTTCTGTTAAAACCTTACTGGGCTTCTTCCGTCTGTCATCTCTAAAATATGGCCATTGCTGCAGAGCTCATTTGCATGATATTTCTTTTGGCCTGAAGCCTAGTGGGGCCATAGGAAGGAAAATAGCCTTGAGTCACAGTTCTGATGACGTATTCCTGGAATGCTGCTTAAACACCTGAGCATCCGTGCAGTTCTAACTGCATGTGAGAAGACCCATAAAGTGATACACAAGTCACAAATTTAAATCTAGAATGTTTCTGTTTTGCTGTTTTTTTAAAGCCTGTATTTTTAAGGACTTTCATTCCTCAAAGAGTGGGGCAACAAATGCTTTAATGTGTATCGACTGTAAGCAAAGCAGGTCTGATTGTTCAGCTACACAGTAGATGTACATTGGCACATCTGTGCATGCATCCACTCTTATTCGGTTGACAGCAAGTCGTGCAGATTTGGTGTGTGCCGAATGAAGACTGTTCATGTCTACATTTTGACTTATAGTGTCAATGAATGTGAGTCAGATTCAGGTCCCAGTCTTGTCTTCCTTTAAGCATCAGGTTTATAGCTGTTTTGGTCCAAAAATAAAACCTAAAACGATGTGAAACGCTGTAGGAGTACCTTTTATTAGGACCAGCGCAGTGACACATTTATTCTGTGTCATTGGGTTGGTCCTAATAAAAGGTATTACACAGATTTTTGTTCTTGGCTTTTTGGGTTTTGCCTAAATCAAGCCTACCAACCTCATAGCCAAGTGATTGTCTCTCTTATCTTTCCCACTGCAATAGGGGAGACAGTAACACTAAAAAAATACGTGAAGCGCTTTGATCTCTTGAAAGTGCTCAATAAATGCCAAGTTTATTTATAGTTCTCTGGTCATTGTGTGTCCAGTTCAACCTGTCCAGCTCTGCACAGGTATTTTGTGCTGGTGGATTCCCATGGGGAAAAATACAGCTTTGCTTTGACCAAGGATTCTGAAAGTTACTTCCAGTGATTCTGAGAGCTACCCTATGTCACTTCCCCAGAAGTGACATTGCGCCGTAGCCAACATCAGCGTTTAAAAAAATAATAATTATCCTGCCACTGCTTGGAATGGCAGCGGGCAAGTAGGCTGCTGGTGGGTGGTTACCTGCCATCGTGTGAGGCCTGGCAGCTCTCCCAGTGCGGCATCTACCAAGCAAACAGCCAGTCCTCATTTTCCTCCATCTCACTGGAGGAGGTGGTGCTTCAGAAGAACAGAAGAGGTATCCCTTTGGCGTTTACAGGAAGTACACTTTCAGCACCCATTGCAGGAGGCTGCTTGGATTTCAGCCTCCCAGTGTTTTGTGATTGGCCCCAGAGTGCCATTCTCAAGGAAGGTTTCCTAAGTCAGTCTGGGCTCAGTGACAGCATAGATTCTGCCGACGTTGCTACCTGGAACTCCTTGACCCTAGACTGGACTTTGTTAAACCTGCTCTCTGGAACCTCTGACTTTGGACTGGACTCTGATTACTCTCTCCCTCTCCCTCCCCCCTTCTCCCTCCCCCCTCTCTCT